TTGTAGTTTCCTTGAAATTTCTTTCTTTTTTTTTTCTTCAAGTTTTGATATGGGTGATGCTGGTTTCCTAACATCATTTGAGAAATGTTCTCCCTTATACTATCATACAAATGACTTGTTTATAATGAGTATATAATGTATATACTTTCATTATTAAATGTTTAGAAGAATTCAGCAGTGAAGCCATATATATCTGATATTTTGTATGTGGGAAGTTTTGTAAATATACATTATTAAAAATGGATATAGAATTATTCAAGTTGCAAATTTTTCTTAAGTGACTCTTGGTGGTTTACATCATTTGAGGAATTATTCCTTTCCATAACAGTTACCAAAATACTGGTATAGTGTTGTTTATTAGAGTCTCTTACTCTTATGTTAATATCTTTTACATTTGCTGTGATTTCTCCTCTTCATTCTTGATATTGGTCATTTGTGCATTTTCTCTGTCCCTTTTTTTTTTATCGATGTGGCTAGAAATTTCTAAAAATCAATTTTTATCTTTTTAAAAAACTAGCTTTTGTTTTTATTCATATTCTCCTACTGGTTTTCCATTTTATATTTAAATAATTGCTGATCTTATTTTATTATTTCCCTACTTTTGCTGAGTAAAAATAAGGGTTTCATTGAGGTATGTATTTTATAAAATTGTTTTTAATTTGCCTTTCTTTTTTTAAAATTATTTTTTTCTTTTCCTTAAATCCTTAAAATGGAAACTTAAATCATCGATTTAAAACATTTATTTTTTAATATAACCATTAAAAATACTCTGGTTATAATCTTGGGCTCTCTTTTTGTCTATATCTCTTTGTGTATGTCAGTGTCTCTGTCTCTTGTTCCCTCCATTTCTCTCTCTCTCTCTCTCTCTCTCTCTCTCTCTCTCTCTCTCATCACTTGTACAGGGGAAGCAAGGTGCTATGTTGGGATAATCCTTATGGAATGGCCCAGATGATGTGGTTCGAATCCATGACTCTATTTAATAACTTGTGAAAAACTGAAGCTCTATGTTCAATAGCTCTCAAGAATGACACCTGGGACACTTGGGTGGCTCAGTTGGTTAGGCATCCGACTTCTGGCTCGGGTCATGATCTCATGGTTCGAGTTCCACACCAGGCTCTGGGCTAACATCTTGGAGCCTGGAGCCTGCTTCAGATTCTGTCTTCCTGTCTCTGTGCCTTTCCCCACTCACACACTCTCTCTCTTTCTCTGTCTATCTCTGTCTCTCTCAAAAATAAATAAACATTAAACAAAATTATTTAAAAAAAGAATTAAGCCTGGCAACAGCCACATGAGTGAGCTTAGAAGCAGATCCTTTGACCCCCGTGAAGTATTGAGATGTCTATAGCTACATTTATCTGCTTCAGTGCAATCTCAACAAAGATCTTGGGACAGCAGCACCATGCTAAGCTGTTTCTGGAATCCTACTCATAGAGTCTATGAGATAATAAAGGTTTTAAGGTTTTACCTCTCGCAGTAATTTGTTATGCAGAAAAAAAATCAATGTAATATCCTGTCTTATATTCTCTGTCTTTTAATTGTCACATTTACATTTAAGGTGCACACTTATTGAAATTATAATATGGTTGTGTTTAAAATTGCCACATTGTTGGGGCACCTGGGTGGCTCAGTCACTTGAGTGTCCAGCTCTTGATTTCAGCTCAGGTCATGATCTCACATTTCATGATTATGAACCCTGCTCAAACAACCCTCCTGTAAGCACAGAGACTGCCAGGGATTGTCTTTCTCCCCTTCTCTCTCTTCCCTTCTCTTCCCTCTCAAAAATAAACTTTAAGGCAAACAGAAAACTGCCACCTTGTTATTTGTTTTCTGTTTTTTCTCCCTGCCTTTGTTCCCTTTCCCTTTCTTTATCTGTATATTTTTTATGATTACATTTTATCTACCCCATTGGTTACATATATTTTTGTTCTTCTTCAGGGTTTATAATATAGCTCTCTAACTTTCATTATAATGTAAGTCTTATAATTCTATACTAATATTTCCTCTTTCCCATAATTCATAATGTGGGCTATTCTCATTCTTTGTGCAATGCAATCAAGTGCACAATATATTATTACTTTTCTTTTAAGCAGTAAATTATCTTTAATAGAGATTAAATACTGAGGGAAAGAATATTTTACATTTACCCACAAATGTACAAATTCCATGGTCAGTTGATTCCTTTTTGTAGATCCAAATTTCTGTCTTGCATACTCTACTGTTACTGAAAGAATGCTGTATATTTCTCAAGAAAGGTCTTCTGACCTTTACCATGTTGTAGCATGACTTCATACTTCATTCCATTTTTTGCCAAAATAATATTCCATTGTATGGGTTTTCTACACAAGCTTATCTATCTATCAGTTTATAAATATTTGGGTTGTTTTCACCTTTTGGCTGTTATGAATAATGCTGCCATGAACATTTGTGTGCAAGTTTTTGCATTACATTTTTAATTTCTCTTGCATATATGTCTGAGAGTAGGATTGCAGAATCAAATGTAAACTCCAGCCTTAACTGTTTCAGGAGCTGGTGGAATATTTTCCCAAGTGTTTGCGCCAATTTACATCCGCACTAGCAGTGTATGAGAGTTCCAATTTCTTCATATCATACCCAACATTTGTTTATGTGTTTTATGTTCATTATACCTCTTTTAACGGGTGGGAAGTGGTAACTCATTGTGGTGCTGATTTCCATTTCCTTGATGGCTATTAAGGTTAAACACCTTTCCATATGCCTGTTGAACATTTGTATATCCTCTTTGGATATACCTTGGAGAAATGTCTATTCAACTCCGCTGCCCATTTTATAATTGGATTAGAGTGTTTTATTATTGAGTTGTAGATACTCTATATATTCACAGCTACATTGATCAGAAGGCTGCAGATTGTCAAGGCTACTTGTGGAGCTGAGGAGAGTTGGAAAGTAATGAATGGGACAGTTTAACTGCCACAAAGTTAGCTGTTTTTATTGAGATTCAGAATGTTTTATTTTGTTTTGTTTTGGTTTGGTTTCTTTTTAAGTTTTTTAACGTTTATTGATGTTTAAGAGACAGAAAGTTACAGAGCATGAGCAGGGGAAGAGTAGAGAGAGAAGGAGACACAGAATCTGAGGCAGGCTCCAGGCTCTGAGCTGTCAGCACAGAGCCCAACACGGGGCTCGAACCCAAGAACTGCAAGGTCATGACCTGAGCCGAAGTTGGCTGCTTAGCCAACTGAGCCACCCAGGTGCCCCTGTGTTGGTTTTGTTTTGTTTTGGTTTGGTTTGGTTTTGGTTTTTTTAAATAAATGCTCCTTGGATTTTTGCAAATCTGTGGTTAATTTGGATAGCTCTCGAAAAATTGATTTCTTGCCACTGTTTTGCTGCTTTATGAAGGGAAAGAATTCTGAATCTTTCTATCCCATAATTTCAGAAATCTTGCTTATGCTTCATTATGTATTTTTTCTTTTTTCTTTTTTAAAAACTTTTATAGTTTAGAAGTTATACACACTTCTAGTTAGTATTAATGTGCTACCCTGAAACTTTATGGTTTAAAACAGAAACCATTTTATTATGTTCATTGATTCTGTGGATCAAAAGTTAACACAGAGCATAGTAGGTATGTGTGACCTCTTTTCTTCTCTATCTGAGACCTCATCTGGGAAGATATGAAGGCTGGGAGTGAGTTCTCTTTGGCTAGCTTCTCCTTCTTACCCTCTTATGGAATCCAATTCCATCCAATCCAATTTAATGTTTATTGGATTTTATGCAATTCCTTTAAATGCTATTCTTTAAGATTTTGGCTTTTTTTTCTGCTTCTTCTTATCAATCTGTAATCGTCTTTTGGGTGATTTTATCTCATTGCTTCAGTTAATGGCTCCTGAAATCTATATTTGAAGCACATTTTTCTTTCCCAAACTTCACACCTGTATATGGCCAAAAAGTCTAAGCTCAACATGTCACAAATGTTCCTTTCCAAATCAATGTCTTTAGCTCTATTTCCTAATGAATGATCACATTGTTCAGCAGTTTCTCCAAGTAAGAAAACTCGGAATTATCCTCTCGTCTTAATCCCCAAGTTCATTGGACTTCTTTCATTTTCTTTAAATCAGAATTCTCACCTAAATTTTTATATTTTTCCAGGTATGTGCTGTAGCTATAGGTAAAAAATACACTCAGTAGAGACTTTAAATTCTACACATCAAGTATTTGTTGATGGAAATCTTTACAATTCATAAGAAAGTCATGTCAACATTAATTCAATATTATGGTAGAATTAATGTGGAAAGTGGAAAACCAGAAATACAATGAGTTCACTGAAGATGGGGACAGGATAGAAGTATTAAATACTGAATTATAAGATGAAGAAGTTGGAGAAAATTCTTAAGAACCAGAAGAGAAGACCTTGAAATGGCTGCCTATGTTCAGAATTAATTATGATACAAGGTTAGCTCTAGAATTAGAAATGGTTTTTCTTTGTTTTCTTCAGAGATTTTTTTATTCTTCCAAACTTTTTTTTAACACTTTATAGTAAGAAAAAAAATGCTTTAACAATGTTTTTAACTTCCTTTTATTCTCATCACATTTTACTCCCTATTGAGTTTTGTTTGATTGTTCTTACTCATAATTATACTACTAATACTGTCTTTTTATGTGTTAAGGTATTTATGACTTTGTGTAGAGACTCAAGCACATTTTTGCTGAAATTATGAAAAAGTAGCATAAATCATGACTGATGACTGACACCTAAAAGATCATGGGAAATAACTAGGCTACTGCACAGGGTAAATAAACACGCCAGAGATAAATAGAAGTATGAAAGATGCAAGGCATTTGTCATGTGGGTAGAGAAGAACTTAAGCCAGTTTTAAAAAATAGGCTACCCCTCTTTATTCCTCTTGTACTAACCTAACATTGAACTTACCAGCTGCCATGATATAGTTGTGTAATCCAGAAGGCCAAAAGACACTCACATGAAAATAGATTCAAAAAAGTAAGAAAGTTCATTTTTATTAATAGTGGTGTTACAATTTAATTTTGTGTGGTATAGTGGACTTATCATTTACACTGTATGAACTAGTAGTGATGTGTTTAGTGACTGGCTTTTGGTAATCCCATACAACACAGCAGGGCTCAGTATTGCAGTAATTATATATGTATTCCCAACTGTTGCATGAAGTCTTGCAGGAACCACGGACAAGGTAACATTCTCTTTTTCTGTCTACATCTTCTTTTGTTTTTTTCTGTGAAACTAGGAAAAAGTATATATGATCATAAATACAAATTTACTCCCCTTGCATAGATAACTGGATAGATAAATAAAGCTGTTTCAAGTATAGAATGAAACCATCTGGTTTCTAAAATCATGTCCAGGCAACTGTATTAAAAAGATAGATTTTATCCCCTACACATTTTTACAATATGAATATTTATCCAACAATATTTCTTTTGCCTAGCTTTTAAAAAATAGAATATCATTAAATATCTAATCTGCACATGCTTCCTCAAGAGTAAAGTGAAAAGGATGTCGAAAAAATAATCTACCTGTTTTGTGTTCTAAATAGCCATCCACCTCCAACATCCCTTCTCCCCCACAAGTTACTGGACCAGTTGTAGAAAGCTTAATTTTGACAACAGCTATAGTATTAGTTCATTAAATTACATTTAAAAAGAGAAGGCAGTAGGAAGTGTGTAAGAAGTCATAGTCTCATCAAACAAAATAACAAACAGATTTAATTCTTAATTCTACATCTTGGGAATTTTTCTTTTTTCTTTTTCTTTTCT